ACATACATACATATTTTTATTTAAATTTGTATTCAGAAAACAACAACAGATACTTTTCTCGTTTGCAATGAGAATATTACTTTTATATAATTTTGTAAGCACGTATAATAATTGTTGATTGTGGACATAAAACATTTAACATTAAATGTGCAATAAGATTACGGGCTCATAATATTTAATTTTCAGGACGTGTCACTTATGACAAAGACAATGAAAATATTCCGATAGTTGTATATATTCTTATTAGTCTACAAAGTTCTGTTTGCGTATTGCATCTGCTTGTTATAACTAGCTTATATATTTACACATATGCATATTAGATATTGCGACGAGAAATTCGATATAGAGAGATTAAATCTCTCGACAAGCAACGTGTTCCAGATTTCTCGTGCATAATATAATACTTTTTCCACTATAGATTATATTAATAAGATTTTTCGATAAATAAGATCTTCCTAGAAGACATTTCGCCAGTAAGAACTTCCATAAGCTTTTTTTAATTGAGAATAGCTAAATTCGAAGTAGTTGCTTGATCGTAATAATAAGAATAACATATATGAGAGCCTAGTATATGAATAATTTATGCCCATAAATGGTTGAAAATTATATCTCCAACAGATTTTTATATTATCTATTAAAGAACTAGAGATCGTTATATATATAATTTTTCTCTATCTTCCATTCCTTTCATGGATATCGTTGATTCTGCAATTTTTAGCAAGAAATACATGTATCTTGTATAGAATACATGTAAAAGAAGTGTGTATATCCATTAAGATTATTTTGTGAACGTCAGGGCTGGAATAAAATATAAAAACCATCAAGAAAGAGACAAAATATAAACAAAAAGGTCTTTTTCGTATGACGTGTTATATGCGATTGGATCATAAAAAAATTATGAATCCAACATCGTTTCTACTAGCGACATTTCCTGTGTGACTTCCTAAATAATTGCTTTCATAAATAGATTATTCTGGGTCCCGTTAATCATCCTCGATGTTCAGGTATGTTCGCCTTATGAAAATTGACAGCGCATACGGGATCGATTTGCGCGTCATATTATAATACAAAGCACATGTTTGTATAAGTAAGCTTAGTAAGCTAATAGCACTATTTGCTACAAGCTGATGTTAGATTGTCCGATAAATTCAGATGTTGAATTTTTAACAGAGTGCGCCTTTTTCCATATAGTGTTGAAGGGAATGTTGAAAGTAAAAGTTTTAACAATATCTCGCAGTTAGTATGCTAAACGATTTTTCGCGCGTAGATTATACAAGCTGCCACTTGTAGAGTGCATTCGATAGAATGCGATATAGCGAATCATGTAATATTTATATGTACATAGTGATGTTTGCTTCATTTATCGTAACACATGATTTTATTTAAGTAATTATTATTATTCGCCAGATATAATATTCGAAATAAAAAGTACATCTATGAAAACGATAAAAGATAATATAATCTTTTCCAATTACCTGAATCCATGAAAATCACTAAGTTATGTTATAACATTTAATTTAATATAAAAATGACAGAATATCACAAGATTATATATCTTTCAATTTTATATATACTTATACATAAAATATATATACAAAATAAAAAAGGGATTTCCCCATTTAATAAGTTTATATTATAGTGCTTCTCTCTCTCTCTCTCTCTCTCTCTCTCTCTCTCTCTTTATAATATTCATATTACAGCAGAATATTACGAGCATACCATTATATAAAAATGAACATTTCCCTAGAGAGCATTTGAGTTGAAAATGTCTCTAGATTTGGATGAATTTTATAATTATAAAATTTGTTGTGGTAACACGACAAATATGATACATTCTTATAGGGATATCTCGCAAATATCGATAATAAATTGAAAAACATTTATTACTAGTAATATTATCGATATTCTATATCTTTTTGAGAAATAATCGAACCTTAATGTTATGAGAGAAAACCGATTTTTATCAGAAAGAACAATAAAGTATCGACATAAAAAAAACATTTCTTTTTCAACTAAAATTTTCAAATAACAAAAATAATTTTTAATTTTTTCTGTAATTGTTACAATTATCATTATTTAAGGAACATTTAGATACACATTTTATTATTATAAGCAATTGATAATGTACATGGTATTCCAAGTTTTAACAAGCAAACTGCGTCAAATAAGAAAAAAATATTAGAAATTTAATTTCATAGAAGCTTCATTAAGAATCAAGAGTTACAACAAAAAAATATAACGATGTTAAATCTGGTAATATTGGTGGTTAAAGGTTTGATCGAACAATCTAATTATATCCACATGTTTTAAAATTAAACAGAAAAATTAAAAATATTTTCTTTCATAAAAAGTACTTTTCAATCCATACTCCATGGAATTAATATTATTCAGATGTGAAATAACATTTTGAAATGAGACATTGATAAAATTATATACTATTAATTCTCTGCAGCTGGCGCCAAAATCTGAAACAGTTACTGTTGCTAAGTCTTAAAATTCATTTATTTTATGTTAATTAAAAGATGCTAATTAATTTCAAGAAACCAATAATGACAATTCGTATAAAAAAAATATCGAGTATATTTTAATAAATCAAAGTATAAATATGCCTATAAGAGTCAATACTGGTTAATCATGTGTAACAAATTTATTAGTTAGGCATAAATTGTAAACATTTTAATCGCCAATTTGGATCCTTAGCAATACAAATGTTTAATATTTAAAAAAAGTATTCATCAATAACATGAACTATCATACTTTACATGAACATCATAATTTATAATTATATAAACGGATTAATGCCGATTTATTTGATATTGTTTCTGTCTTTATATGTTTTTATGTATCCAAGAGCTTGTTTATTTTAATTGCCAAATTGAATGACAAACGCTTGGAATAACCTGTGTGGTGACTCATCATATTGCATATGATCTCAAGCATGCGATCTGATGTGGTCTCCATACAGGTTATTCCAAGTATTTGTCATTTAATTTGGCAATTAAAATGAACAAGATACATAAAGATACATACTCTTGAATACATCAGCATTAATCCGTTTATAAAATTTTAAATTATGATGTTCATGTTATTTATACAACAAATACTTTTCTTAAGTATTAATCATTTGTATTGATAAGAATCCAAATTGGCGATCGAAACGTCTACAATTTATGTCTAACTAATAAATTTGTTATACATAATTAATAACCAGTGTTGGCTCTTATAGGTACTTTTATACTTCAATTTATTCTTCAGAACATTTGCTATTTATTATATATTTTAATAAGAATAATCTAATTTAATGTAATAAAAACAAAATAGAATTGTTTAATTTTAACAGAAATTTATTATAACTGAATATAGGGATACTTCAATATATTAACTATCCGCTTCAATGGGTTAATAATCAGAGCAGATTTTTTAAATTCGTGGTACTTTAAATTTTATTTTTTTTTTTTATAAAGCTTCTCTGAACCTACTTTTAAATAATATTTATTTCTTATGTTTATTCGTACACGCAGAAAAATATCTACCGCGTTCAAATATTAATTATTCGTTTAAAGTATTTCAAAAATTCCATAATATTTTCGCAAATTTGTTAAGTTCGTCACAAACATAAAATTTATTAAAATATGTTTTGAATCCTAATAAGTTCATTACTTCCATCAAGATTATTAAATTAAAGTAAATTCGATTGTGTGTTAAATAATTAAATAAAGTCGCTGATAAAATTTTATAATATTAAAAAAAAATAAATTTTTATTTGAGTAACATAATAATGAGTTTTTTTTCAAATTTGTATAATAAATATATTTTAAGACTGTTATTTAAAAAAAGTAAACTAAACAACAGGCAGGAATCCGAACTGAATTGAAAAAGAAATCTAAAGCTTTTATATCCTTTTTTTTTTTTAGTGAACCGAAATCGAAACCGATATAAAACTGTAACACTTATTTGATATTTTATAACAGAATCGAAAAAAAATTTTGATCCAGGTCCCTGATGAATAATCACTTTCTTAACAGTAGAATGATATATTTTTCTGTGTGTAAAATTCAAATTGACACAGTTTGATCGTTAAAATCTGAGACATCCTGTATAACTCAAATAATCTTACTATATAAATTTTTAAAATGATCGTTTTAACATTGTTAATTGTAAAGTCTCTCTTTTTTTGTACATTTTATCTCGTAAATTTTTGTTTTAAAATTGCATGTGATTAATTTAAGTAAGGGATATAAATATATCATAAAAAATGTCTTATTAGCAATATGTACCTGATTATCCCAACCTATTTGCCTGGTTTATCGTTATCTTTATTGCTTTCATTTCTAAATATTTCTTTCCTCAAGTGTACGCAACCATCACTCGCGCGAAACACATTCGTCTTCTCCCACTCATATTGCAGGCTGCAGGGATTCCTGAGAGAGCCATTATGCTCTTCGGGACTCTCCCTCTGTCCTCAGAAACGTCAGTCACTTCGTGTTGGAAAGACGTATTTATTGTACGTGTATCGAATCGACATCACGTAGTTTAGATCCAACCGTATATCGGTGCATACGTTGCGATTAACACTATTAATTAAGAGTGCTAATTATAGGCACAAGCTTTAAGAGCATCGGAAATGAAGAATAAGAAAGTCACAAAGAAGATCAATGCCGCCAATGTTGCGGTCGCAATCGGTCAGTATACGATTATTGCAGTTCTGTGTATAAATTTATGTATAACAGAGAAATTAAACGAAAAACTTGTGCATATGTGTGCGTATTATTTTGGTACGATTTGT